CATGCCATGCAACATTCGGCCATTGCTGGCACACGTGCGGAGCAGCGGGCACCCCCAAGGGAAGACAGAGCTTCGAGAAGCGGTCGAACCTCAACGCGCGCTTGTGGGTAGCCTGCACAAAACCATCATCTCCAATAGCAGCGCCGAGGAATTCAAAGTTGCGTTGAAGGCGACTGCTGCCATTGACAGAAGCTCCGTCGGAAAATGGCCAGTCAAGTCGTCGGGCTGGACGCTGCCAACCCCGGCAAATCCGCACTTGGAAGGTTTAACGTAAGGCCGAGCTCTGATCCCCGGGTGCGGATATGGGCCAACGCAGCACCAACCGCAGCCACATCGCCAGCACCAATGCCATCGTCAAGGTAGAAAAGCGCTAAGTCCAGGGGCCCTGCTCGAAGATCTTGCGTTAAGGTGTGGATAGCGGTGGCAAACAGCAGGGGGCCAAGGGGATCCCCTTGTTGCACCCCACCCGCGGACTGGATGGCGGCTGCGCCAAACCGAAGGGACGAAAGATGTTGGTGGCACCAAGTCACCCAAAGAGTGATTCCGGGGAAGATAGAAGTAGTTCTGGTCAAAGCGGTTTGTCGGCAGACTCGGTTGAATGCATTGGCGAAGTCCAGCTTGAGCAGCACCTTGCCGTGACTGGCGTGGTGGCATTGGGTCCATGCCCCAACGGTGTGAACCCGGATTTCCACGCCAGACTTGACCCGAAAGAAACGATAACATCGACAGACAGAGTTTTCAGAGGTAATTAATAACAAACAAGAGAATAGAAGAACAGAAGATAGAAGATCAGAGCAGAGAAAGAATCATAAGGAAGAAGATATAGGTGCGTGAAAAAGTAAGTAGTGAGGTCGTGAAAAATTGTATTTTGTTAATAATTTATAATTCCGGAGGGTCGAACAGTGGGCTCAGCTGGCCAGATGAGAAAAAGAAAATTAAACGCTGGTGTGGCACGATGCACAAACCGAAATCAAAATGTACAAAATGCACCAACTTCGAATCGCTTTTGCAAATTGAGATTTGGAAAATCACAAGAAAATGATTTGAAACGGGTCTTTTTTTTCCAATTTTTTTTTTTCGTTTGAAAATTTCCTTTGCCTGATATTTTTTTTTCGACTTCATTTTTTATTTTTATATTCAAAATAATCGAATTACTTTTTTAAAAAATCAAAATGAATATATATATAAATATAATTATTTACATAAATTTTTGAATATTTGCAAAAGAAGGATTTTTATATTTTTTCTCGAGAGCCTCGCAGGGTTCTTCTCAATAGTAGGGGTCTCTATTTCATCTTCTCATCTTCACCATTTCATCTTCAAACCTTCTCTCACACCATCTCATCTTCACACCTTCTCGTCTTCACAGCTTCTCTCCCACCTTCTCATATTCACATCTGCTCATCTTCACATTTTCTCATATTCACATCTTCTCATCTTCACACCTTCTCATCTTCACATTGGCTCCCCTTCACATCTGTTGCTCTTCACATCTTTTCATCCTCACACCTTCTCACCATCACACCTGCGCTCACACCCTCTCATCTTCTGATCTTCTCTCTCTCTCTGTCTTGCCTTCTTTATCTTCTCTCTTTAGGCCGAGTGTGGTGCCGGCGAGGAGTCACGAAACATCAACCCTTGCAAACGAGATGAGGATCTATCGTCAAAAACTGAGGTAATTGCGCTTTTACTTTTGCTGGAACAACCCTTTCGCACGAAACGATGGTCAATCGTCAAAAAATCTAGGTAAAATTGCAATTTTACTTGTGCTGGAGAAACCCTTTCGCACGAAATGATGGATCGTCAAAAACAGTGGTAAAATTGCAAGTGGATTCCGAACAGATGAAAGCCTGCATCTCCAGAGTGGCACCCAAATGCAAAACCACCCAACACGCTGGAGTAACGGGCCGACTTCCAGACTCATGGGAACCAAAGGTTGAGACTGAAGGTCTGTGAAGCACGGCGGGGGGGTGGGATTAAAGATGAAGCGTTGAATGAGACTGAAGGTCTGTGAATTGAGGCAAGGGGGGTGGAAGTTAAAGATGAAGTCAAAATTAGGACTGAAGGTCTGTGAATTGAAGAAGGGGGGGTGGAATTTGAAGACAGACTGAAGGTCTGTGAAGCAAGGCAAAGGGGATGAGGTGAAGGCCGGTGATGCTGGAAAACGCTGCTTGCACCACAGAGTCGAACTGTTGTAGGACTGTGAGCTGACAATGGGGCGAGTTGCACCGCATGCCATGCAACATTCGGCCATTGCTGGCACACGTGCGGAGTAGCGGGTATCCCCAGGGAAGACAGAGCTTCGAGAAGCGGTCGAACCTCAACGCGCGCTTGTGGGTAGCCTGCACAAAACCATCATCTCCAATAGCAGCGCCGAGGAATTCAAAGTTGCGTTGAAGGCGACTGCTGCCATTGACAGAAGCTCCGTCGGAAAATGGCCAGTCAAGTCGTCGGGCTGGACGCTGCCAACCCCGGCAAATCCGCACTTGAAAGATTTAACGTAAGGCCGAGCTCTGATCCCCGGGTGCGGATATGGGCCAACGCAGCACCAACCGCAGCCACATCGCCAGCACCAATGCCATCGTCAAGGTAGAAAAGCGCTAAGCCCAGGGGCCCTGCTCGAAGATCTTGCGTTAAGGTGTGGATAGCGGTGGCAAACAGCAGGGGGCCAAGGGGATCCCCTTGTTGCACCCCACCCGCGGACTGGATGGCGGCTGCGCCAAACCGAAGGGACGAAAGATGTTGGTGGCACCAAGTCACCCAAAGAGTGATTCCGGGGAAGATAGAAGTAGTTCTGGTCAAAGCGGTTTGTCCGCAGACTCGGTTGAATGCATTGGTGAAGTCCAGCTTGAACAGCACCTTGCCGTGACTGGCGTGGTGGCATTGGGTCCATGCCCCAACGGTGTGAACCCGGATTTCCACGCCAGACTTGACCCGAAAGAAACGATAACATCGACAGACAGAGTTTTCAGAGGTA